AAAAATATATACTACACATTTCTCTGTGTAATACAGGCAAACTTCTTAGTTTTACTTCCCCATCACTGATTGTGTGTGTGTGATTTTTTTGTTCTACAAGTTCCTGCTTCTTTTTATTTTTTTAGTGTGATAAGAACACTTAACATGAGATCTGCCCATTTAACAAATTTTTCAATGTATAATACAATTTGATGCTTTTTAACAGATAAAAATCTGGCCATTAAAAGTTTAGTTATCTTTGAACTATTTCTTTATTGAGATATAATTAACATCATGCAATTCACCCATTTAAAGCATATAACTTAATGGCTTTTACTGTAATCACAGATATGTGCAACCATCACCACTGTCAGTTTTAGAACATTTTCATTGCCTCAAAAAGAAATTCCATACCCTTTAGTTACCCCCACTATCCCATGGTCTCCCTTCCCCAGGCCTAAGCAACCATTAATCTCCTATCTATCTGTGTAGGTTTGCCTCCTCTGGACATTTCATATAAATGGAATCATACAATATGTAATCTTTTGTGACTGATTGCTTTTACTTAGCATAATGCTTTCAAGGTTCATTCATGTTGGAGCATGTATTAGTACTTCATAACTTTTTATGGCTGAATAATATGCATGGATATAACACATTTTGTTTATGCATTCATCAGGTGATAGACGTTTGGATTATTTCCATCATTTGGCTATTATGAATAATGCTGCTATAAACATCTGTGTAGAAGTTTCATACGGGCATATTTTTTTCATTTATCTAGGGTATATACTTAGGAGTAGAATTGTTGATTGTATGATAACTCTATGTCTAACCATATGAGGACTGCCAAATGGTTTATTAGTTGGGTGTATCATTTTATATTCCCTGAAGCAATGTGTTAGGTTTCCAATTTCTCCACATCCTCACAAACTTTTATGATCTTTTTGATTATAATTATCCTAGTATATATGAAGAAGTATCCCATTGTGATTTTGATTTTGATTTCCCTGATGACTGACGATGTATTTTAAGCATCTTTTCATTAGTTTATTGACCATTTGCATATCTTTTCTGGAGAATTGTTCAAGTCTTTTGTCCATTTAAAAAATTTGATCATTTATCTTTATCCTGTTGTGTTTTTATTTATTCTGGATACTAGATGTTATCAGATATAAGATTTGCAAATATTTTTCTCATACTGTGGTTTACTTTTCACTTCTAGAGAGTGTACTTTAATGCATAAAAATGTTTAATTTTGGAGCAGTTCAATTTATCTGTTTTTTTTTTCTTTTGTTGCCTATGGTTTTGGTGTCATATCTAAGAATCCAATTTCAAGTCAGAGGTCATGACAATTTACCCCTATGTTTTCTTCTAAGTTTTATATAGTGCTAGCTCTTACACTTAGGGCTTTGATCCATTCTTAATTAATTTTTGCATAGGGTATGAGGTAGGGGTCCAACTTTATTCTTCTGAGTGTGGATACTCAGTTGTCACAGCACCATTTGTTTAAGAGACTGTATCCTTTCTCCACAGGATGGTCTTGGCACCTTTGCTGAGCATAAATTGACCAAAAGTATGTGAGTTTATTTCTGGACTCTCATTTCAAGTCTTATGGTTCATATATATATTCTATGTCAATGCCACAGCATTTTGATTACAATACCTTTGTGGTGTGTTGAAACAGAAAATGTGAATCCTCCACCTTTTTTTTTGAGGGGAGGGATTGTTTGGTTATTTGGGGTTGCTGGCAATTTCATATACATTTTTAAATCAGCTTTTCCATTTCTTTAAAAATGGTCTTTGGGATTTTGATAGAGATTTTATTCAGTCTGTAGATTGTTTGGAGGAGTATTTTGACTGGTTAAAAGAGTTACCGGAAGAAGCAAGAGAAAAATTTAGGAAGCATTGGTTTTGGCATCAAAATAATTTTTTTTAAATAGAGTATCTATGCAAACTATAAAAGATCAGATGATAAGAACGCTGACTTCATACAACTTATCCAATTATTTTTTATGTAAGATATTGAAACTGAAGTGGGTATGATAAGAAATAATAATAAATAAGAATGTGATAGTAATATTGTTTTCTAATCAATGAACATGGGATGTCTTTCCATATATTTAGACTTTCTGTATTTTTTTCAATAATATTTTACAGTTTTCAGTGTACCAGTCTCATGCCTCCTTGGTCAAATTTATTTCTAATTATTTGATTCTTTGTGATGCTATTGTAAGTGGATTTGTTATCTTAATTTCATTCTTGTTCATTGCAAGTACATAGATATAGAAATGATTTATGTATATTGATTTCATATCCTGATACCTGGCTGAAGTCATTTATTACCTATAATAGCATGTTAGTGGTTCTTTAGGATTTTCTAAATGCAAGATAGTGTTCTCTGTGAAAAGAGGTAGTTTCACTTCCTTTCTGATATGGATACCTTTATTTTTTTCTAGCCCCTGCTAGAACTCCGGTGCTGTGTTGAATAGAAATGGTGAAAGGTGGCTTCCTTGTCTTGTTCCTGATCTTAAGGGGAAATAAGTCTGATGTTAGCTGTGGGTTTTTAAAACATTCCCTTTACCAATTTGAGGAAGTTCTGTTCTAGTCCAAGCTTGCTGAGTGTGTTTATTATGAAAGGGTATTGGATTCTTTTAGTTATTTCTTATCACATCCTTTTTCATTTCAATATTACATAAAAAAATAATTGGATAAGTTGGATGAAGTCAGCTTTCTTATCATATGATCTTTTACTTTTTACTTGTTTTTAAAAAAATTACTTTGATTCCAATACAAACGCTTCCTAAATTTTTCTTTTACTTCTTGCAATAACTATTTAACCAGTCAGAAGGATTATTTCTCTTTATATCTGAAATACTGTGGTTTCCTTTTTAAAAATATTTATATGGGCTCTTTTTTCCTCTCTACATTTGAGCAAGGAGAGGTCTGTTTTCCTGTGTACAAGGTTGTGAATGTTCTGCCATCTACCTTGCGTGTTGCTGAGCTCCTCCCCTCTGTCTCAATCTAGAAAGTGTAATTATCGTGCAAAGGCCGTTGTTCAAGTTCTGTGTCCAGCACACACTTGTCTAAGGTGCCATAAGGCTGAGGGGTCTTCTGCTTCTAATGATGGGTTATCTGACTGTCGGGAAGAGGGTTTCCCCTCTGAAACCTCGGGAAATATTAGTGTATGTGCCCCAAGCCAACCTCCACTGCACTATGCCTCTGGTAGCCTGTCCTCCTGTTGCTCTCACATCCCAGGATGCAGTCCGCTGGGGACCTTTCCTGTGCCATTCCTAAGTCTAAATGGGGTCTTAGAATGGAGGCAAACTGAGAACTGCAGATTCAAGGATGAAAGGAACAGCCTTGTTTTGACGCACCCCCTCAAAAAGTATAAGAGTTTAAAAAGGTGAGGTTGGGATTACCTGACTGTTCCTCTCATGAGCAAAGGCCCCAAGTCTCTGATAACAGGGCAGAAGTATTTATCAGGGCTTCCTGTGCACCAAGCGCTTGCCTCAGTGCCTCACATATCTTAGTTATATAGTCCTCATAACCATCTGATTACATTTTATAGATCATGAAACTGAGGCACACAAATGATAACTTTCCAAGGTCACACAGCTACTAAGGGTGAAATCATGAAACCGTCAGCCTGCTTCTCATCCCTTAACTACTCCAGGAACGTGTCCTCCTGTACTTATCCTTGTTCTGCTTATCTGCCCTGGGGCACGTCTGAGCTCTGGTAGAGGATACATTCTCCCTAGGGTCTGACTGGCTCTGAATAACAGTTTGCTTTGCTGTTGGAATTTCGTATCACTTTGGGTGTTTTGAGCATTTCAGGGAGAAAAGTGAATCCAGCCCCACTAGCAGCTATCAGCTAAGCTCAGAAGTCCTCAAGGACTTCTTTGCATATAGACTTGATCTTAATCACTGTGGTTATTTTACGGATGAGAAAAATCGAAGTCCCGGATGATTAGGCAACTTCCCCCAAGCCATGGGACTCGTGCTGGCCAGCCAGGGTGAGAGCTCGTCCTTCTGTGGTTTGTTCCCTGCTCCGTTTGGCCAAGTAAACTGTCTGAGAAACTGCTGAAGTCGAACTGCAGCTGTCTTTCTTTCCTAACCTGCCCCCAAAGGTCCATACATTCTTAAAAGCCACAGACAAGATATGGTTTGATTTGATTTAGCCTGTTCAGTTTCTTCAAATGCTGGAAAATGGAATGCAGACCCTTAACTGAGATTTTTCTTGAATTAGGCTGGGTGACAAATGTCTCTTTGAGCTCTTTTATTCAACATCCTATTAATTTTTTTAACTCCTATTGTTTTGTCCCTGACAGACCTGTTATGTTTCAGATGTGAGACAGATGTACACATAGAGGGAAAATTCTCTAATAAGTTATATTTGCCTCAGATGACTGAGGCTATTTAAAAAATAAAACCAAAAATGTACCCACAGGACATCTTTCTCATCATAAATTTATCTGGCATGTTTAATTGATAGAGACTTCTGGGTTAGACTGTTATCAAAGCATGTGGTAAATTGTTGAGCGCGTGCCGTTAATGATGCTCTGGCATCTCATTCCAACACAGAAAGAAGTTTTTCTATTGTTGGGAGGAGTTGGCTTCCTGGTGCATCCATGACAGGACCTCAGAGACAGCCTATGCTGCATTTTATACATATGTCCAAAGTTGCTTGTAGGCGCATGGGATTTGGGGAGGAAAAGCAGTATTTACATCTTTACTAACAATTACGGTAGACACCAACTGTTTAGATTTTAGCCTTTTAGTGAAAAATCCCTGGGGTTGGTTTTTAGAAGTCAGACTCTCATGGCAGAAGCAAGTAGGAGAGAAAAGAATGGAATAATTGAAGGCTGCTGTCTTTTCACTTCCCACATAAAATTATTTGATGAGACAGGCCAGAACTTTAAACAGGAGGTACCAAGAAAAGTTGTAATTTGGGTGTCAGTTGTCGTGACTTTAGGGTGTTTGCTTAAAGGACTTTCCCCCATCTCTTTCTCTCTTCCCAGACATACTTCAATGACAATATCCTTACGCTGATACGGACCCTGGTGACAGGAGGAGCCACTCCGGAGCTCGAGGCTCTGATCGCCGAGGAAAATGCACTCCGAGGGGGCTATAGCACCCCCCAGACGCTGGCCAATAGGGACCGCTGCCGTGTGGCCCAGTTAGCACTGCTGGACGGGCCCTTTGCAGACTTGGGGGTGAGTTCCCAGCACAGAGGTCACCCGAGCCCTCTGTCTGGGAATAGCTTGGTTGGACTGAACTGTGTGCCAGACAGTGACAAGCTAGGCTTATATGGTAAAAAAAAAACTTTTCTATCTTATATGGTAAATAAGTCTAAGAGGTGATATTCATGGTTTACTGTGTATCAGGCATTGTGCTTTACACGTAGTCATTCGTTTTTATCCTCAAAGTGACCCGTTGACATACGTTCTATTTTCAGATACTCTAAGGAGATTGAAGCACAGGGAGACTGGGGACTGGCCCTATATCAGGAATTTACACCAGGAACACTGACCTCAGAGCCTGTGGGTTCACTTCCCACAGATACCTTCTACCGCAACACAGGAGGCAAATGGTGACACCAACATGCAGCTAAGGCTGGGACCCCTTTCCGCACACAGGGTCTCAGCACAGTTCAGGCCTACTTAACACCAGCTGCAATTAATAGCCCATGAGGAGCTTTTAAAAATCACTGTTGGCCATGCCTAGTCCCCAGGATTCTGAGTTTTGTATTTGGATATGATCCAGGCCCTGGGTGGTTTTTAAAACACCGCTGGTAATTATGTGCCTCTAGAACCTCTGGCTAAACAGTGTGTCAGATGGATCCTTTAATGGCTCTAATTCCAGACCGAGGCCTTCTAATTTCTGAGGCTGGACCCAGTCATTCTCCCCCACGCTCTCCCCTTCTGCAGAGGTGACCAATGCCTCCCTTTGGGTTCTGTGAGCCAGCTTGGTTCAAGCCTTGGCAGAAGTATGCATTCATGATCTTTATTCCCAACACTACCTCAAGGATGCCTTCAAGGGTGGACCCACAAGTCTTGGAAACCAATGAATCCATTGTACAAACAATAGTGTCACCCAAGGAAAGGGTCACTTTCTCCATGTCTGCTGATACTGACATATGTTTAGTTTGGTTGTAAGCATGGACCTATGTGGGACTGAGTATTTTTGAAACGCAGCTTCCGTAATCAGTGGCTCTCTTTATCTATCATTTACTTACTGATAAAGTCTGAAAGGATAAAGACTTTAAATAATGGTAAGCTTTAGCTCACTTTATCTTTTCTGTTATGATGCCCATCTGGAAATTCCATGACAGGAAGCACAAGTGCAGTCACTTTATTCCCAGTCAAGTCCTTCTTAAGTGGCCCTCCTGTAATAACCCCTACCTGAAGCTTCCTGGCTACATGAAGCCAGCATTTCCAAGTGAATGAATTTGCTTTCACATTCCATGTCAGGCCTCAGACCCTTGGAAGGTGACTGTGAACTGATTAGAACTGTGAATCCCAGTTATTCAGCCTGCAGACCTCCAGCTCCTAGGGAAACACATTCTCTTGCACCCTCACCATCTCTGAGGTCTGTAAATTGTGCTTTTCACACAGTCCTTTCCTGGATGAATCTGTCACCAAAGTACCTGGTGGGGTCTTTTCTCCTTACAGTGATTTTAATTATCACTCAAGCAGTTTTGACAACACAGTCAGATCACAGTGATTACAGCTGAGCTGGGGCTAAACATAATCACCATTTTGCAGAGCCAGTTTCTTCTCCTCAGCTGAACATACATATGAGACCTTCAAGCTTTACACCCTCCCTCAAAGTGAGAGAAGGGTGCAATCTCCGTAGAGCTCTCATTGCTACCAATGAAAAACTGGAGAGAACCAGAGGAAAACCCCATTATTATCTGATCTCTAAAAATCAGCAGTATTGGGTGTAGGCTGTTAGCCACATTGACGTCTTCAGCTATAGTCCCTCAGTACAGACCCTCCAGCTCAAGAGACACCAAAACAGGCTTTCAAGAAGAGGACCTTTTCCCCCAGACCTCTACTTCCAGGCAAATAAAAATGATGTTTCTCTCTGTTCTTTTGTTGTCTCCCAGGATGGTGGTTGTTATGGTGACCTGTTCTGCAAAGCTCTGAAAACGTATAATATGCTTTGTTTTGGAATTTACCGGCTGAGAGATGCTCACCTCAGCACTCCCAGCCAATGCACGAAGCGGTGAGTGTGCTTCCACTGTGCTCTCCCACCCGAATGCAGAGACATAAGTGCCCTCTCCTTTCCCTACTCGGAAGGCAGAGGTCTGTGTACTACTCTCAACATGCAAATTACTCTGCCCACATTAAATCCAACACCAAGTTTGGAGGTTATGGAAAGCTTTTTTGTTTGATTACTAATAGCAGATATGAAGAAATGCTGGGAAGAATTAAAGCTTAATAAAATAGTTCCATCACCCAAAAGTGTGAATAGAAACATCTCCTCCAAACTCTGGCTACTTGGATAATTCTGTTGGTACCTAATATAGGGATAGTTCATATTGCTAGTGTTTAAGATGAATGGCTCCTTTGCCATATTTTAGATGCCTATAGTTTTACTTAATATATTTTTAATTGGCCCACTTTTTTACTTTTCTATATTTATTTTAAGAAAATTTTGTTATCACCTTAAGCAGAAAATAAAAGTTTATATGTGCTAATTGTATTTTTTGCTATGCATTAAAATAAATTCATAGCAGCCCCAAATTAAAAGTACATTCTAGAATTGCCAAAATCTGTGTTTGCATAATATACTTCAGGAAACAAAGCTATAGAGATGGGGATCTCTCAGCTCTGCTTGCATATTAGAATCACCTGGGGTGCTTTTTAAAAATACTCTGATAACTCTGACGTAACTGGTCCAGAATGAAAATAACTATAATTTTTTTAATGCCCAGAGATTACAGTTGAGAGTAATTGTCATAGACCAGTGGGTTCTCAAAGTTTAGTGAGCATGAAAATCACCTGCAAACCTTGTTAAACCCCAAGTTGCTGGATCCCCTGCCCAGAGCATATGATTCAGTAGGCCTGGAGTGGGGTTGCTTAAGACTTTGCATTTTTTGGTTCCCAGGTGATGCTGATATGTCTAGCCAGAGGACCACACTTTGAGATTCACTTTCATAGATGAAACAGTGATTTTTTAAATTGGGTCTGGCGTTAACCAGAGAATGCCTGATCAAAATGAGGAGAACAGGTAAAACAGAGCAGACAGACAGGCAGGAAGGCATTTCATATCTTCCCATTTAGTAAAATCCTCACAAAGTGGATTTTGAAAAGTAAACAGTGAGGAAGACACTAGATGGTGATAAACAAAGATCCTGTGCTGTGTGTCTGGGATTTGACAGAACGTTCTAGACTGAAATATGCAGTACATGAAACCTCCTGCATGCACCAGCATGACCTTGATATTGTACTGGAAGGGGCACATAGACCCATTACCGGACTCACGGCTGGCCTCCTGTGTTGAGCTAAACAGAGGAAGATGTAGTTCAACTCAGAAGGTAATTTTTAGAGCCTTGAACCAGCTAGAAGTCCATCTTCCAGGTCTTCTGATACACCTGAGGATCCTTTTGGTTCAGACAGAGGTGTGGTCTCCACCCTGTTATCCTCCTGTGTGTGACCTCTTTGCCTTCCCTGTCCAGGTACGTCATCACCAACCCTCCATACGAGTTTGAGCTCGTGCCAACAGACCTGATCTTCTGCTTGATGCAGTTTGACCACAACGCCGGCCAGTCCCGGGCCAGCCTCTCCCATTCCTCCCACTCATCCCAGTCCTCCAGCAAGAAGAGCTCCTCCGTTCACTCCATCCCATCCACAGCAAACCGACAGAACCGGCCCAAGTCCCGGGAGTCCCGAGACAAACAGAAGTACGTGCAGGAAGAGCGGCTCTGATATGTGTATCCACTACCACCGTGTGTGAAACTATCTGCCACTCATTTCCCCAGTGGGTGTTTCCAACAGTAACTTTCCCCTTTTCCCCTGTAGTCCCCCCTCCCTTTTTTTTACACATATTTGCATATGTATGATAGTGTGCATGTGGTTGTCATTTTTATTTCACCACCATAAAACCCTTGAGCACAACAGCAAATAAGCAGAAGGACCAAAAAGTTATTTATGATTCTAGGGGGAAAAAAATAACCCAAAGGCAAGCTCCAGACATAAATAGCTCACTGCAGAAGGGGTTCACAGATTAGAAGAGAGTGCTTGTGATCCAGGTCAGTTATGGGAAGGAAGTTGAGTTAAGGTAGAAGAAAAGTTTCTTCTGATTTAAAAGGATTATCAGGGTGCTTGGGTTTTACTTTGTTATTTTCCTTTCTTTCTTTCTTTCTTTCTTCTTTCTATCTTTCTTCTTTCTTTCTTTCTTTTTCTTTCTTTCTTTTCCTTCCTTCCTTCCTTCCTTCCTTCCTTCCTTCCTTCCTTCCTTCCTTCCTTCCTTCCTTCCTTCCTTCCTTCCTTCCTTCCTTCCTTCCTTCCTTCCTTTCTTTCTTTCTTTTTTATTTTATACACATGTAGTAATCTACACATTTCTTTTAAAACAAGCAACCAAAAAGCACCCATGATGTATGGATTGTTTTCCATCTCTGGGCTGAAGTAAGGCTTTCGCCATTCCTGCAGGTGATTATGAAGCACCTGCTTGTAACTGTAATAAGAGAACATCTGAGTTGTTTTACTCTGCAAGGCCTTTTGTCCCATAGTTAACTTCTTTTGGATGCTCAGAGGAACATTTCTACCTGTACTATGGAGGAAGGAATAGTACTCTACTCAAGGATGTAGCAAATTCTAGTCATTTAATTTAAGGGAAAAGAGGTTTGATTGCATATTAAATTGTTATTCTGTCTCCTTATGCTACCATATGAATAGCTCGTTTTTTCTTTCACTTTTGACATTTGGGATGAAAAGCCATATGTATCATAAATATCAGATGTAAGTCATTAAAAACTGCCTTCCTTCCTGGGACTTTTACATCTTTTAAAAGGTGAATTACCTTATGTACAGAATAAATAATGCTCAGGAAAGAGCGAGTATTTTTCCATGCATTCTCAGGCGACCTTTTTACTCCCCTCTGTGTGATTAGCTAGGGCCCCAATGCCAGGCAGGAGCAAGGGCTGGGGCCATGTTAGAGAGAGAGGAAGACAAACCCAGCAGCAGATCATGTTTTCCAGGCACCGACATACTGAGTAAATCAGAAGGTAGGAGGATCAAGCCACAGTTTACTCAACAAGGACAAAAGCCAGCTACCACCTGAGAGCATTGGCACAGCTGCCTGGTACTGGCTATCTCAGAGCAGAAGGTGGGAGACAGTTCCCAAGTGGGAAAAGCCCCACGTCATCCACTTTGTGAGCATAGCCACTTCACATAGGCGAGGGGATGACAATGCTGGAGCACAGTCCCTTGCCATCAGATGTGGCAGAAGAGTGCAGCAATAAGCCAAACACATTTTGGTATAATTTTTTTTCTTTGGCTTTCTTTCTTTTTTCTTTGGCTTTCTTTCTCTTTTCTTTCTTTCTTTCTTTTTCTTCCTTCCTTCCTTCCTTCCTTCCTTCCTTCCTTCCTTCCTTCCTTCCTTCCTTCCTTCCTTCCTTCCTTCCTTCCTTCCTCCTTCCTTCCTTCCTTCCTTCCTTTCTCTCTCTCTCTCTCTTTCATTCTTTTTTTCTTTCTTTTTCTCTTTTTTTTCTTCTCTTCCCTTCAACAGTGAGTAAGCATGGCAGGAGAAGTAGGAAAATGCCCTTTTTTTTCAATAAACAGTTCTCGGATGTTTTATGCATGCAAATCATGCTTTAGGCAGTGCAGTAGTTCTTAAAAATTTAACTCCACCATAAGCAAATTCTTGTATGGCTGGACTAGCCCTGGGCTGATATATACATATTTGCAAAATTTACTTTAAAAAATTCCATTGAACAGAATAGGGGTGGAGGGGAGGAGAAAAAGGTCACAGCTGTACCATTTCTAAAAAGGTGTTTTTATGGTGAATGTTTGGGGTTTAGATTTTGAATCCCTGTTCTCCCAAGCATGATAGTTTTGGAGATTTGCTTGCTGTGTGAATTGACAAGCACTTTTACTGACAAAACGGTGAGGCTCAGTCAGAACCTCCGCCCCAACACCAAAAACAGGGCAGTACAGGACTCAGACCAGTAAAGAGGTGGGGAAAAATGGTACCCATGTATAGTGAAGCCCTAGGAGTGGAAGATTTTTTTTTCAAATTGTTTTTGTCCCTATATATATTGATTTATATATTATGTATAACTATCTTTATATATATATCTATATCTATCTATGAATATACACATATACACATATATATGTGTATATATGTATGTACACACACATATACCCCAGTTTTGGATCATGAAGAGCTCTCCATGCATTCTTTGCAAAGGAGATTATAAAGTTATACCCACAGAACATTTATAACTATAAGAATGTGCCAGTTAAAGTGCTCAACAGGAAATATGACAGTTTAAAAGCATTGTAAAACTCACATAGCTTACTTCTCTCTCTAAAGTGCAACAAGGATGAATAGAATGGGCCAAGGTATGACAATTAATGGTTCTGCATGACCTAGCCACTGCTGGGGGTTTTCTTCTATGACGTTGTCCTTGTGAAAACTTTTGTGAAATTAAAAAAAAAAAAAAAGGAGTTACAAATTTTATTCTGTTATTGGTTTGTTTATTTTTATTTATATTGTTCTGTTTGTGGTTTTATTTATTTTGTTTTGCTTTTTTTACCTCCCCATTTCCCCTACTCTTCCCTTCCTTCTCCTCCTTCCTCCACTTTCTAAATTGCTCAGCGCAATGAGGCTGTGCCGCTGCTCTACCGCTAGATCCCTTAGAGTTTGTTTTGGTGTTCCGGGGTTTGGACTTCTCTCCATCTGGCTTGCCTTTAAATCTGCACGTGGCCTTCCTGCCCACCCTGGTCCTTGCTCCAAGTCTGAAAGCATTTTCCCATCAAGAAATCCAGCTTTCTTCACATTCTCCCATTACCACCACCCCAACCCAGTCCCCATCAGTCTGTCCACATCTCTGTGTTTATCTTGGCAAGACCTCCTAAATCAAATGATGATGCCAGATGATAAACTCTTCTGGAAAACATTTGCAGCTATTTCATTTGGCAAACTGGCTCTCAGTTAATATTTTATCCTCCTTTTAATTTAAACCAGGAGGGTTAATGGCAAAGACGTTGGTCTCCTTTGTGTTGGATCAGTATGACCCAAACTAAAACGGTTCAGCTGTATCTATCAACTCGGTAGCCCACACCCAGTCATCTGGGGGCTGACCATCCGTTCTCTGTATTACCCAAGGTCTCTCCTGCCACATGCTTTTCAGACATTTATTAAATCCCAACCAGAGATTGAACAGATAGAGAGAAGTAAATCCAAAATGCATTTTACATACAATTGTTACCAGCTCTAATAAGATGATACTGTAGTGGGAATGGAGCAGGAACAGACTGTGACATGAGATGAAATTTTGGGATTTTCCCTGGACTTTGGGGACATAATTGAGAGTTGACTGTAGTACTTGGGTAGTGAGATACTCAGTGATGAAGAAGGTATCATTGTTACTTGTATTTTATTAGTCAAAACTGCTGTATTATGCTTTCCTCAGTAGCACAGTCTTCCTCGCTGTTTTCCATGTGACCCCAAACTTCCTCCTCTCCTTTCCGGTCCTCTTAGGAAGGAGGCACATAAAGTTCTCATATTTTGTCTCTCCCCTTCCTTTCCCCCTCACTCTAAACAAAAATGAAGTAGGTAAGTGTAGAAAGTGAAAGATTTGAAGAGAAATTATGTGTGTTAAAAAGAACAGCTAGGAACTGCACCATTCTAAATGAGAAGCAATTTGTAAGCCATTCAGTCCTATTTGCTTCAGGCTTTGAAAGGGCTGAACCTTAAGTAAGTGGGTAGACCAGGAGGCTCAGTGAGTTTTCAGTCCCAACATCCAGGTGATCATGAACTCGCCAATACCCCAAATGACTGCTGCCCACAGCCTTTCCTGAAGCCAGTTCAAAGGCTACAGAGAAAGCTGGCCCCTTATACATATAGTTAGATTTCTACTACAATTGGGAGAAGTTTCAAAGTCTGTTGTGAATGTTAAAGGTTATGACCCAGAACTGTACCCACAATAGAGCTCAGCAGATATTTTGAAATAAGTTGACAAACATTTTGTACCTTTCATCCTTTTATTAATTATCTTTACCCTTTGGCTTATCTTTAAAAAAAAGTACGAGTGCCTGCCTGACAATGCTGCTATGCTCTTTGGCACTTTCTCAAGCTGGGTACGCAGCTTCTAGGGAGGAAGAAGCCTTGCAAGTTAAGGGAGACAGACTAACTGTGCTTCCTGACAGCGTTGCCAAGATCTCAGATGACCAGAAAAACCTTTTGACTGGTTCTTCTTCAGCATGGGAAAAGCCTAAAGGTGTCTGCATCCCAATAGAGACAATTAAACCAACCGGCCAGGTTCCTATAGCAACAGGCTCCTGAAGGAGAAAGAGGAGAGTGCAGAAACTTCAGGGCCTGTAGAAGGCAAGACAGGGTAAAAAAATCAATGTCTCAATCAGCTTCTTTCAGCTCATCCCTGCTTTGTCATAACATGATAAAGAAGTAGCTATGGGCACCTGTCATTAAACTGTTGCCTGTCTCCCACTAGGAGGCTGCACCCTCATTGCACAGGGAGGTGAGAGGGATTACCCCCTGCCATACAAAAGGGAGAAGGGAGAAGTCTGCCCTCTAGGTGTCAGCTGGACCAAGAGCCACTGAGAGGGCCAGGAAGGGGCAGTTTGCTCTGCCCAGTGAATGACATTATTTATATGACTTGCATTTAAAAGAGGCAAATAGAATCATGGTGAACAGTTGCAAAGAAGTGAGGCACTTTTCATAAATGGGAACTGCTCTGGTTCTAGTACAAGTGATTTTCATTTCTATGAAATGGCCATACTTTGCCCACAGAGAGGAAAGGAAGCAGTATGCATGGATGGGGTCCACTGAGGGCCTGGGGGTCTCCTGGGCCTTGGGTGAATGCCAGCGAAACTGCCTTCAGAAATGTGACATGTGAAATCACACCACGTTACCTTTGAAGGCCTGCGCTCCTCGTTAGCGCTTACTCTTCTCAACAGTTATCTCTATCTAAATGGAATATTTTCCTTTCAAGCCCTTTCTCAACCTCAGCTTGTGGCATGGTGAGAAGAGGGCCAATTATTCCAAATACGTTGCTGTATCACTGTCTCCCCCATAAGGCTCCCTTCTCTAGGGAGTAGTTACATGAGTAAGCTAAATCCCGCAGCACTGACAAGCCACAGGGCCGGTGACGGGGGCCAGTTCTCACAGTACAGCCTGTTTCTCTGCTTCTGGTCACTTAGGCAGTAAGGTCAGCCCAGGTCTGGGGTCCTTCCCCATGACAGACCACTCCTCCGGGATGCTCAAAGATGGAGTCCTGGCCCTCATTTTAGACCCTTCCATCTCACTGGTGAAAGTAACAATGGATGGCTTGGAGGTGGGATGCCTATAGAATAATAAAAGCCAATATTTTAAAGGCACAGGTGTCATGCAAGGAGAGCAGCCCTGAACCCCTCTACCAGACAGAACATTGGGTCACACCTTCTTCTCATCACCTTCCAAGTGAAAGATTGCCCAACCAAATCCCCCTCTATCTTGATTCTCCCATCCCCATCTTCAGGCCAGCACCCAGTTTATACATTGTAGTTGTCCACCCCAGCTCACGTACCATCAGTGAGTCGTACACCCATCCATAGTCCTTTAGTACTGAGAGCACAGGCATACATGAATGCTAGCCTCATACTGAAAGCCAATACCCTAGCCTACCACGGGCCACTTCTCTAGGCACGTCATGTACACTAACTCATTCAAGCCTCATGACAACCTCAGATGTACATGCTGTGGGATCACTTTCTGAAAGCTGCAGACTGAGGGATGGATTTGTTCAGAGTGATCCAGCCAGGAAGTGCAGAATGGATTTTAAATGTCTATGGACTCTGCCACCGTGTTGCGATGCCAGCTAATATTACTGATATTCTAATAGACTTAACAACTCACATTTACTTACCATGTATCTAGACCTGTGGTCAGTGCTTCCTCAGCCCTAGTTCATTTTATCCAAACAACAGCTTTAGGAAATTCTGATCATTAGCTCCATTGTACAGAAGAGAAACTGCAGCTAAGATAAATTACATACAACTTGCTCAGAGCCAGGCAACTAGCATGTGAGAAAGCCAGATCTATTTGACTTTAATGGTGCCCTATGCCATCTCCTTGCCTGTGCCTCATTACTAGTCTGTAGTGGACAGCTCATGGCATGGCTGGTCTGGACAGGTGACATCTCCCGGTGGCAGCGGCAGTTGGCTTACCAGCATTTCTCTGCAGTTATTTTCCAGGTTCAGGTTTTATCTTGTTTTACTAGTCCACTTGCCACTGACCATGAAATGCTGCTCCTTCCTTAACTCCAGGCAGGTCACACATTATACTCACAATGATGACACAGTGCATTGAATCCTCAAGAAGCTTATTAATAAAAGGGGCTATTTTCCTCTGGCAGTGAGGAGGCCCTCATAGCCAGATCCATTGCTTTTCTCATCTTAGTGATGAAAATAAAGCTCCTGGAAATCTTTCTGGCATGCGGGATGAGGCAGGGAGAGGAGATAAACTCAGGGATTTGAATTTGTCCTGGGCCACTTCAGCACTCATCTGAATTCCTTCCTGAGTGCTCTTCCTTATGGCCAACTTTGTAGCCTCCCATTGGCTCAGTTTCTCCTTTGGAAGGCAAGATTTAATAAACCAAAGTGTCATTGTCAGACTTGAAGTGAATGGCTGGCCATCGTTAAAGTATGTGTTCCTCTGAAGCACTTTTGGAGAATCTCTTCATAAAGTACCTTTCCCCCAGACATTTTAGTAAAATGTTCAGAGCATTAATATATTTCCATTTCTCCAACATCCTATCTGACCAAGTCTCCCAAAACACATATATTTATATCCCAGAAGGCACCCTAATTAAAAAGTCTGTTTCACAGGCATAATGAAACCTCACCTCTTCACCAGGATGTGCTTTAGCACAACTCCTTGTGCGGCAGCTCAACGGCCAAAACGCAGGATCTACTCTGCTTAGATTTTTTTTTTCTTTTTTATGGCAAGAAATTTAAAAAGAAAGAGAGAAAGAAACTTGAATGGGAAAATAATGCCCTCTTTCTTACCATCAGCAGAAGGAAATTGATATTCTGTCTGCCATGAAAGGTCAAAATGCCAACTTTGAATTGAACTGTAAAGACTAAATTCTGAACAATTATTCTCTGCAGCAGTTGTAAAAATTTCAGCAAATTGCAGCTGTCCAAGGTCTTTCACCCAAAAGACCTACTCGTTTCCATCAGCAGAGTTCACTCTCCCTTCCAACCCGGCATGTCCAACCTAGCACTAAATCCCTTTGCAATATCAGTCCACATAATGACCCGACCAAAACTAAGGGTCACTCAGGCAAACAGCACGGACGCCGGGTTCGGCTCTTCCTCAAATCATCTTTGCACATAAACCGCTGGAAAAAGTCGTAGTTTGAAATTGTTTCAGCAGCCTGGCAATGCTTTTAAAACATGATAACCATCACACTTTACTCCTCTCTGAAAGGTTAGTTTAATCGTAGATCACAAAAAATTGGTTTCCACAAATGCATAATGGTTCATCTATGTCACACTTGAACTAAATGGTTTTTTAAATGGAGCTGAAATTATTTTGATGTGTACACAGTCTTGGATTTCTATACAACCTTTTTTAACCAGCCCATCAGGAACCTTGCCTCTAAAGCCTCATTAATAATTCAGATGTGCTGATGACTTTAAAAGATCTATGGAATTGAAGCTTAGGAAAAAAAAAAAACTCTGCTTGACAAAAAGATAAATGAATGTAGAAAGAAGCTGTAGGAGTCTGGCAAGCTGTAGATCATCTCAGAACAGATTGTAACTTTATCATTCTGTCAGGGGGAATAATTTAAAGCACTTAATCAGTTAGCTTCACTGGGAAGATGTAGCATTATGAATTCCTATGGTCCAATCTGTTCAAATCAAAGTGAACTTAATTATAATAAGGTGAGAGAACCAGAGCAGGGAGAGGGGAGTGGGGAATGATCCAAGACACAGTAAGTTTCCTGGGGGATAAACTGAGCTGCTGAACAAAGGCTGGTGGGTAAGCTTTCGCCGAGGCACAGCCCGGCTCCTGCAATAGTGTTTACGTTGAAGGCTCAGGGTTCCTGACAGGTTTTATCTTGTTTTACTAGTCCACTTGCCACTGACCATGAAATGCTGCTCCTTCCTTAACTCCAGGCAGGTCACACATTATACTCACAATGATGACACAGTGCATTGAATCCTCAAGAAGCTTATTAATAAAAGGGGCTATTTTCCTCTGGCAGTGAGGAGGCCCTCATAGCCAGATCCATTGCTTTTCTCATCTTAGTGATGAAAATAAAGCTCCTGGAAATCTTTCTGGCATGCGGGATGAGGCAGGGAGAGGAGATAAACTCAGGGATTTGAATTTGTCCTGGGCCACTTCAGCACTCATCTGAATTCCTTCCTGAGTGCTCTTCCTTATGGCCAACTTTGTAGCCTCCCACTGGCTCAGTTTCTCCTTTGGAAGGCAAGATTTAATAAACCAAAGTGTCATTGTCAGACTTGAAGTGAATGGCTGGCCATCGTTAAAGTATGTGTTCCTCTGAAGCACTTTTGGAGAATCTCTTCATAAAGTACCTTTCCCCCAGACATTTTAGTAAAATGTTCAGAGCATTAATATATTTCCATTTCTCCAACATCCTATCTGACCAAGTCTCCCAAAACACATATATTTATATCCCAGAAGGCACCCTAATTAAAAAGTCTGTTTCACAGGCATAATGAAACCTCACCTCTTCACCAGGATGTGCTTTAGCACAACTCCTTGTGCGGCAGCTCAACGGCCAAAACGCAGGATCTACTCTGCTTAGATTTTTTTTTTCTTTTTTATGGCAAGAAATTTAAAAAGAAAGAGAGAAAGAAACTTGAATGGGAAAATAATGCCCTCTTTCTTACCATCAGCAGAAGGAAATTGATATTCTGTCTGCCATGAAAGGTCAAAATGCCAACTTTGAATTGAACTGTAAAGACTAAATTCTGAACAATTATTCTCTGCAGCAGTTGTAAAAATTTCAGCAAATTGCAGCTGTCCAAGGTCTTTCACCCAAAAGACCTACTCGTTTCCATCAGCAGAGTTCACTCTCCCTTCCAACCCGGCATGTCCAACCTAGCACTAAATCCCTTTGCAATATCAGTCCACATAATGACCCGACCAAAACTAAGGGTCACTCAGGCAAACAGCACGGACGCCGGGTTCGGCTCTTCCTCAAATCATCTTTGCACATAAACCGCTGGAAAAAGTCGTAGTTTGAAATTGTTTCAGCAGCCTGGCAATGCTTTTAAAACATGATAACCATCACACTTTACTCCTCTCTGAAAGGTTAGTTTAATCGTAGATCACAAAAAATTGGTTTCCACAAATGCATAATGGTTCATCTATGTCACACTTGAACTAAATGGTTTTTTAAATGGAGCTGAAATTATTTTGATGTGTACACAGTCTTGGATTTCTATACAACCTTTTTTAACCAGCCCATCAGGAACCTTGCCTCTAAAGCCTCATTAATAATTCAGATGTGCTGATGACTTTAAAAGATCTATGGAATTGAAGCTTAGGAAAAAAAAAAAACTCTGCTTGACAAAAAGATAAATGAATGTAGAAAGAAGCTGTAGGAGTCTGGCAAGCTGTAGATCATCTCAGAACAGATTGTAACTTTATCATTCTGTCAGGGGGAATAATTTAAAGCACTTAATCAGTTAGCTTCACTGGGAAGATGTAGCATTATGAATTCCTATGGTCCAATCTGTTCAAATCAAAGTGAACTTAATTATAATAAGGTGAGAGAACCAGAGCAGGGAGAGGGGAGTGGGGAATGATCCAAGACACAGTAAGTTTCCTGGGGGATAAACTGAGCTGCTGAACAAAGGCTGGTGGGTAAGCTTTCGCCGAGGCACAGCCCGGCTCCTGCAATAGTGTTTACGTTGAAGGCTCAGGGTTCCTGACACAGTAAGAGAAAGTGCGTACTAAGGAGAAATAAGCAGAGTGGTCATGAGCTGATCATAGATGCTAAATTTATAAATCATTAGCCAAGCAGGGACACACACACACACAATTGCACTTCTCTGTCAAGCCAGGTGAGCAACTTTTATTAACATATCAGTGCAGAATCACTGGCGAGGCAGTTATGAATTGTTCTGCTCAGAAGAAAATAAGCCATTGTCTCTATAATAGTGGGTGTGCTTAAAAGCTTTTTCTTTCCCTTTTTCTTTTCTTTTCCTAAGCCGCTAATATGATTCCCAAGTTAGTATGTCCTATTTGCACAGTCTTTTCGTATGTATACATGGCCAATTTTCCAGAAAGTTTCCATCCTAGAAAGAGGCAGGAATGAGGGCTGAGTCTTGTAAAATAGCCCTGAACTGCTAAGAGGATGCTAGGGGTCATTTCCAGTCTCACCCCAGCCCTAGACTGAATGGCCTGACTCAGCATTCTCTGTCCGCCATCTCTGTATTTAGGGTGGAAACAAATGCCAAGACTTGGTTAAGCATCGTTGTCAACAGCTTGCCTTACTACAGAAGGTTAAGATATTGTGACGAGGAATTCTTTTCATAACTTTATGCCAACACAGACTTTTCTCTCTTGAAATAAAAACCATCTCAAAATCCTCTTAAAACACTGACTGCTATTGTGATTTTCACTCTCACGGGCCAGCAAAATCTGTGGGCTTATGTTAAGACCCTTAAAACTGGCTGCAAAAGAAATAGCAGAGTGGTATCATTGAGATATAACTTTAAGGATGCTTGTTCCACGCAAAGCCAAATTAAATCTGGGAGGAGGAGATCCTGCATAAGATTCTGAATTACTTGCTCTACGCCAGGGACAGTGTCCCTCGATGTTCCACTCCAGTCAATGGATGCACAAATCTTTTCCTTAGGCACAATATCCATACCCAATATTTGATATATTCAGCATTTCCTTCCCACCAAAGCTTTTCAGTCCGCCAAAGGAAACCCATAGGACATTGCCAAACTGCATCTTCCAACCCTTCTTTATCCTCTGAAGTCCACCCACGGTGCTTCTAAGTCCCAATGGCCCATTAGACATCACTTGCTACAGGCAGTGGCAGTATGTTTCCGGTTCTGGAGTTCTCCCTGTGCTGCACTGTCTTTCTCTTAGTAATTACTCACTGCCCGTTTCTATTGATTACTTTTTACATTTTGTAATGAGCTTTCCAAAGGCTTTATTGTAGTACTAATTAAGCTTCTCCTTTCTCCTTCTTGTTCTCTATCCGTTTTGCCTTTTAGCAGAAAAGAAATGGTTTACAGATGAACCGGATAATGCCTATCCCAGAAACATTCAAATCAAGCCCATGAGTACCCACATGGCTAACCAGATCAACCAATATAAATCCACAAGCAGCTTGATTCCACCAATCAGAGAAGTTGAAGATGAATGTTGACTCCCAGGAGACCAGAACTATTTTTTTAAAGCCTGACAAACTTCATAAATGGTGATGTGACTTTTCTTCCTCTTACATGCTGAATCACAGGTGGAAATGTTAGGATAAGCAAGAATTGCAAGAAAAATAAAGTAGACAGATCTTTCTGTTTGTCTACCTTGAATATTGCTTCCATGTATTTTGGAAAAGAAAATGATTTCATTGATAAATGAACATACTAAAATAGTCATGTATAGCCTCTAGCATTTTAAATTATTTTTATTTATTAGAAAGAAAATATATTTTTTTCTTTTTTTTCATTGTCAAATATCTTCCCTCTATCTAAACAATGCAAAATCAAAATGAACAAGTGGCCAGACTCCTTAACGCGTATTTCTCTTCTTTCTCTCTTTTTCTTTGAGGAGAATGATGGTCACCACCACAATTAATTGTAACGAAGGGAAGTGGATTAGTAAAGCAATTTAGAAATGGTCCAATGATGTAAACATGCATTTTAGTAAATTCAAAAAAGAAGCAAAAAGGGGGGCAGGTGTATTTCCTGGATGGGTGTGTATTTTGGCTGCACTGACACCAGCTCTTAATAAATGGAAACTTATTTATTTTCACAGTTGAAAGTCATATTTTTGTAGTTTTAGTTTTGATTCTGTATTTCTTATCCCTTTATTCATATATTTAAAGGGAAGACCTTCTTGCAGCTTTTCTACAATGGCCAGATCAGGTTTATCCAACCAACTCATAACAATACCAGGAGGGCTGTGAGCTGGCCTGGAATGTGGTAGTTGAGGACAGGATGTGCACAAGACATTGCTCTGTTTGCAGTTCTCATCGTGGGTCCTCCCTCATGCTGTTATGCTTCCATTTCATATTCCAAACCACCCATGAAAGGACTCTCAACTTTGGAGGGGTCTGGCGGACTTTCTCCCCATTCTCCAAGTCTTAGAGCTTTCTGCCTGAAAATCTGTAAACACCAATGAATAATTTTACTTAACAATAGGATACAATGATACCTTTATTCTTCTATTTGGTTAAAAGCCAGAACATTTCCATAACCAAGGAGATGACTTTTGCCCAGATTTTAACTTTGCAGGCTTTCCTTTAGTTGCCAGCGTAAAACATACAAACTTGCTACAACAATATAGATAATAATAACAACAAAAGGAAAGCAACAAATGCACTCAATACAGACTGTTAGAAAAGGCCTTTGAAAATTACCAGCAATGAAATAAAATGAATCAGCCACTTCCAATGGGTGGTCAAAGGGTTTTTCTAGCCATCAGATGCAATTACCATGTCTCAGAGCTCTGCGGTTGCTTGCATGCTCAGTGTACAGTCGTCCTGGCAACTGTTATGTTCCAAACAATTGAGCAAGTCTTCTGACTTCAAAATTATCAATCTTTGATACAATCATCAGGGTCTCTGGAGAAGCATGGATGTGACAGTGATTTTCAATTTCTAAAAAATGTACACCATGGACATTTGAAGACACCAAACTTACCAAAATATCCACCCAAATCCCATGATATCTATTTCATCAAATCTTTCAGCCTTGATCCTGTGGTACCTAGTATGTTAGTGCAAATCAAATCAGAGTCAAGCAATGAAATCACCATGAAAATATATGTCCACTAAGTACTCCAATTACCAATGTAGGTAAAATGAGCTTCCACCTCTGTCCACTCCCTGCAGAGCCAATATAGCCGTGTTTCCACCTTGTAGGCACCTTCCTGAAGTGACTTGTCAGACTGTGGTTACCCTGTTGTCACATTTTGTAGAATTAGTTCTATGAAAGTATTGTGAATATAATGTATGTCCAATTGGATTGTTTAAAACCTTCTTATAACCAATCACTAGTCTACTCAGCACACTAAAATGATGTCAGCAGTCTATATTCAGGCTTATGAGCATTTCCTCGTTTCCAACAGAAGTACCATGGGCTTGTGAGGTGAAATCCTTTCTATGATTTTACATCCTACCTGAAAGCTAGGCCTTTTTCTACATAATGATTTTGCACTGGGGTCACCTTAGTACATTCCCATCAATCCACGCTCTTCTTTCCTTCATGAACCCTGGTAGAGTCTTCTTCGCTCCTGCTCCTGATAACCACTTCTGATTTTGTTGTAATTATTTGGTGTCCTCTGGCAGGCAATGTGGGCCACCTACATGGTCTTCCCTTAGAGGAACCAGGGCCAGTGTCCCATGCCCGCAGCCCTCTTTTCCTCATGTCTCCATACCAAGTCAGTCTGGAAGCGGAAGTGTAAACTCCATGCACACAATGGCTAGAGGTTTGAATCTAAACTTTTTTTTTTTTTTTTTAACCAAAATGGCTAAGACAGTTTTACCTTTGTAATAATGGATTGTTCTGGGCCAGAAAATAGGAAACATTTTAAGGAAGTATACAAAGTGACTGGTTGATGGCTCCATTGATGAAAACTGATGCTTGGTATGTTAAAAGTGAAATGAAAACAGAAACAAGACTGTAAGCAGAAGGGAATGCCAGCACGTCCTGATGCGTTTCTGTTTGTTGAGTTCCCTGGTCCTGAGGGAGTCCTCATCCCACCCACTGTGGCAGATCCATCTTTCTGGCTAAATCCTAATAATGGTCATCATTGGCACAGTCCATGTTATAAAGCTCTGGTCTCCCATCCCAGCTTAGGGTTCCATCTTTCCAGACTGAAGACTTCTGGGTGCTTTGGGGATCAAAGATTCACCAGTAGGCTGTTGAAAGCAGAGAGCACCCTTCATAAGTGCCCACTCATCAGCATCAGCATCTCTCATTCAGAAAACCTTTACTTTCAACTGAGCAATTTTACATTTTAAAATAGCACTTCAAACCAGTATATAAACACCTTAAATAACATTGATTGTGATTAAAGTATGTTGAGGATCACCCACCCAGAAGCTCTGTCCTTCTAAAGGTTGGAGTGTCTTGTGATATACTTTGTACACAATTTAATTGAGACTTTAAATAAACAGGAATTAGAATTGTTTAGTTACGGTTGGTAAGGGGGAAAGTGATAAAGCCTAAAAAGTTGGGGATATTTTCGTGGTGAAAGGTGAAGGTGTCCAACTTTCCTACTTATGGTTTAATATGAGGTTTCAAGAGCTGAATCTGCAAATTACTAGCTATGTACTTTGAAAATGCTCTTTAAACTCTCTGAGTCTCAGTGACCTCATTTGTAAATGAGAGTGATTCATCTAGATGACTCTAAGGTCCCTTTCAGAGCTAGGAGAACATGATCTAAGTTAGGGAGTGAGAGCATGCGAACAAGCCCGTGGACAGAATCCTGTCCTGTGCTAGAATAATGGTCCTTCTTGCTGCATCAATTAAGCAATATTCCTGAGGGTGGTGTGTATTTTCCTTTCTGGACACGGAGCAGTTAGGTTCATGCCCCTGCTTTACACTCTGGAGACTCCTTAGATTCAAAATGCAAATTTCCAAATTGAAATTCTGCTGGATCACATTGATGAGATTTTTTGTGTGTGTTCCTACGGTTTTCTTCTCAATTTCATCCCAGCCTGCCCTTTTCCTTGGTTCAAGGCTCAGTTGCAGCCAATCCCTTCATCTCTAACCCATATCCCACTTTTCAATACGTAGCTAGAGGCTTAGGATGCCTGGATTCCTGCAGTTTTTCTCATTTTTACTTCTGCACATGGATCTGAGCTTTAGGTGGTAACCAGTCTTACATCTCACTTCATTTCCTGTGCTCTATTTATTTGATTTTTTTTTCTTCAATTAGTACATGCAGTATCTCTTTGCTACTTACATTCGTAAGTCTAATTTTGATTTATTATTTCTCATTATCAAAGACAACCTCAGTAAAGGAGGAAAGGAGGGGAAGGACAAAAAGGAGGAAGAGAGGTAGGAAGGGAGAGAATAAAAGAATATCAAACCGATTGACTGGGGAGGGGAGCCACCTTACTCATAACCAACCAAGCTAATCTCTTCAGCGTGGCCATGGAGTTCCAGTGCAGAATCCATCCGCTGTCTACTCTGTCCCTATAGTCTGTTTTCTATTCTGTCCCTATTTGCCCCTACTGGAATGGTGGCAAAGTTGCCAATCCCTGGGGCCCTTGAAAGGGGCCTTCACTGTTTAGGGCTTGACTCGCCCCCCCCTCTGAATGAGCAGGAGGAACTGAGATTTCACCTGCAACGGACCTGGAAAATTATCTTTCTTCCCTTCCCCTAGTCTTCCTATGTTCCCAAAGGCCATCTTTTCTTTCTATCCAGTAGAAATAACATAGCATTTAAATCCTGTGACATTTGAGGTGGTGAGGTGGCCCTTAGAATTTATTTTTGAAGAGTAGTGAGTAGAAACCATCTCTGGCCAGCTTGTACCACAGTGGACATGTTAGCTGTTTAAGGGAAGACTGTTCTAGTGAGTTGTAGCTCATGCAAGACCAGCTGTTCAGTTTCAAAACTGACATAAGACAGCTCAGGGAATACTTTTATCTTTGATTTTATTTCCCAAGAAACTACAGAGCCTACTTCCCATCCGTATGGTAAGCTTGCTTGGAACGAGTACACAGGGAAGGGAGCCTGTGTGCTCAAGGGCAGCGTCCTTCAGCCCGAGGGCTGGAGGCTCTGAATGTCAAGCCCTCATGGGGTAGACTGGGGAAGGAATTTTAAGTTAAACTATCGGTACCAGACCTTCCTTTTTTGCCTCATTTTTCAAAAATGGACCTGAGAATTTTGTGTTTAAAGACAGGCCCAATTCAAGACAAACGTCACAGAGCTGGGAAGAAAGAACAATAGCAAAAGGACACAAATCACATTTTCAAGTGCTGTCAGCCAGGAGCATTGTATGTGGTGGAGAGAGTTAGTGCTTTAGGTTGAAAGGGGAAAGAGGGTGCATTGAACTACATGGGTTGGGAAGAATACAGAAATACAATGCTTGATGGGTTTTGGAGGTATTTCAATAGGCAATAGATGACTTGAAAAATGTGGAGCGTGAAGGTTTTCCAGGGAGAGGGGGCCAAATGGGCCCTGCATCACTGATAGGAATGTGATTTCTGTACATAGACCATTTTGTCTATGGTGACAAGTTCATGTAGGGGAGCTGAGGAAAACTAAGATGTGACCTCATGAAAGTGGCTGGAAAGAAGACAGTCCTAAGGGCCAAGCTAAGAGGTTGAGATTTCATTTACAAAGTCATGGAAAGGCACTGCAAGTTTTAAACAAAGAGTGATGAACACCAATGCCCATGCATTTGCTAGATTGACAGTTCTGAGGTGTCAGTGCTTCCTGGAGGTCATCATGAGAAGACGCAGAAAGCTGCATGTTTTCTCAACAGCATGGTGTTCTCAAGGATGCACCTTCCAAGTCAAACACTCATGTGGAGCACCTGTCTTCCTCAAATAACTGGTAGGATCAAAATAGTTGTAGAAGTTTAGTTGGAGTTAATAGGGGCTGGTGTGTGGGTTGGGTATATGAGGGCAATGACCTGTGGTTC